TTTTTTTTTTTTTTTTTTTTTTTTTTTCTTCCCATTTTTTGGTAATGATTAATTTTCTCCTCTCCTTTCTGAATGTTGGGTGTAACCGAGCATACCATTTCAATCTTGTGGGTGTTGAGATTTTATTTTTATGAATTACTAAACTTTCACTTCAACTGTTTCTCTGCTCATCAGAAGGTTGGCTTGTTCCTGTAATGACTTGTGACAAACATTGGAAACGGTGACGATTTAGATGAAGTGTAGGACCGATTTACAACACCCTCATTTCAGCTGAACATCAACTCCCAGAACATCAGGGGGAACAAAACAAGTTTGAATGCTTGAAGAGAGGAGTATCATCCGGGCTGAGGAGGCCGAGCCTGGCTTGACACATCTGACAAAGCCCTCGCCGTGTCTGCCTGGAGCTTGACTCATCACGTCTGGACCGATTCACTGAGCTGCAGCACACATATCCACCGTGCCTCAGTCTCTCAGCCACACGCTCTCCACTTTACAGAGGTCATGTTAGGACCATCCGAGTGCAAAACTCCAGCTGCACTTCCTGTAAATGTATGTGACTCGTCTCTCGCAGTCAACGCAGGCCTTCCGTGACCTCTAGTTTGTCAGGCCTGGACACGTTTCCCAATATGCCGTCCAACCCGTCTCTGGTCGTCTTGCAGCCCCATCTCAGGAAAATCAGTCTGTGTCTGTTAAAAAAAAAAAAGTCGGCGCTGTTTATCGTCTTGCTCACTCTGTCCATATCTTCTCCAACCTATTTTAAGAAGAAAAGGAGTTATTTCTGTCTTGGGGTCCTGAAAGGGTTTTAGCACAGGCGCTTGAGTGATCCTCACACCACACTTTGCATCATTGGCCTAGTTTCTAAAAATAAGAATAAAGTATAGCTTGAAATCGCCTTGTTGGAGTTATTAGGAGTTGGCTCTTCGGGTGGGACGGGAGGTTGTATTTTTGTTTCCACCTGTGGGCCTACATAGTGTACTGTGGAAGAGCAATTCTGCCTCCAACGGGATAAACAACTGCATTTAGAGGATTATGAAGCATTATGGAGCCTGATTTCAGCTACATGTGATGCGTCATTTGGCCTCCGTGACATTTCTTTCCCAATATAGGAAATTTACCTTGTGGGATGACTAACGATTGATAAATGAAATATCTTGCCTGACTGGGAGGACTTCATTCAGACTCACCCTTTTGTTTTTACCTTCTGTAGATGCGAAGTAGTAATTATGTAACTCCTTCAAATTATTGAGTAAATTACTTCCTCCTGATGTGGGATGATTGATGTTTCTGGTTCGCCACGACTGTGACGGATAAGCAGAATGTCTTTTTAGTGGACTTCAAAGACTGGGTCGGATTCTGTATTCGAGAAGTATTTTTAGATGTGTGAGATGTTTTTTTTTGTGTGATCCAGGTTGGTGAACATCTGGCTCCTACCTCCTTGTTCCTTTTTATTTTAGAGGGGAACTGCTTTGCTGTCAGCATACAGTGGGATACTGGCACTAAATATTGGAGTTGTGGCCAAATGTACATCAACACTCTGCACACAATGGGTTATATTCGGCTTTGCCTCTGTACCTTAACTAGAGGCTCATAGATGCTTTGATTGTTTATAGGTCTTGGCAGTCATGGTAATGTTTCCACCGTTCGCTGTTTCGTGAAATGTTTTCTCATTTTGTTTAGAAAAAGAAGAGATTATGAGCAAAATGACACATTCAATCACATCGAGGTACTGTCAGTTTTTCCTCCCGGAGAAAAACGTTGATGTGCTGTTAAACAATGCCGTCACAGACGAGGTCAACTTCAGGTCGGATTCAAACCCGTAGCTTTAAATATTTAGATCTGCACTTAGGTCTTGCCGACTCAAAGGCCAAAAACCATTCTTGCCCTGCTGTGAAAATAATCTCCAAAGAGCATGTTAGCAAACCTGCGTAGTCTTTGAATGCACCACCTACAGATGGGCGTGGATCAAAGGGGGATTGTGGAGAAGCACTGTCACGACACCGCTGTTAAGTCAAGTCTCTGATGATTGTCTCTTAATCTTGGACATCTTTCGGAGGGAACGAGCGCGACAGTACGGCCTCGACAGATATGAAAACCTTGACTTTGGTTTCCAGTTGTTACAGAACCTAAATGACCAAAGCCAAGACGGGAAAGTGTGGCAGGGAAATGCAAATAGGCAGTCTAATAATTAG